TCCTGTGCTGCAGGATCATGGATGTTGTCCACTCCTCTGGCTTCTCCAGGCAGAGGTAATGGGACAAGCAGGGTCTCTGAAGATGCCCTCACCCACAGGCTTTCCCAGGGGAACACCATCCCAAGGAGCAGGTGTCCTATGTAAAGGTGCTCTGACCCTGTCACTGGCAGGTCCATTGTGTACATGAGCATCTCCTCACCCTGAGCTGCAGTGAACAGAAACAAAGTCTTTAGTGCCTTTGTTCCTAGAGAAGTTCTTTGACAGCATGCTAAGTAACAGTCCAAAGCGTCTCAGTGGTCACCCAGGGGACCCCTCAACCTGAGCCAGTCCTTCTGGGGGCTTCAGCCCCAGCTGTGGAGTCCAGATCATAGAGGCCAGGTATATGGAGACTGGAGCTCGGCCCCAACCCTGAGTACCCTTCCCTCTCAGTTTTCCTGAGGAGCTCTGGCCTGGTCCACCTGTGCTGTGGCAAACCCAAGACCCCAGTTGTCTATGTGGGAGCAACAGGATGGTCAATCTCGACATCCACTGACTGGCTGTAGACTCCTGGGAGACCAGTAAGATGCACTTTAGGGTGCTTCTGGCCAGGCCATGGGGCTATAAACTCGGAGAATATATCTTGTCCTGGGCCACTTCCTCTCTGGCTTCCCCATCCTCCTTCCCTCACTCTGCTACCAGGACGTCAGGAGCTGAGTAGTTTTCCTCCACTGGAGCCTTGAAGCCACATAACCATAAATGGAAAACTCTGAAATATTCAGCCACAATAAACCTTTCATTCTCCAAATCATGCGTGTCACATATTAAGTCATAGCGATGAGAAGAGAATGCCTACATCTGGAAAGGGAGAAGGTATCCCGTCCTGGGAATTGCACAGAGTAAGCGTCCCCCGTACCCTGCAATGGTCCTCCTACGGATCCTGGCTTGTGGCACAGCCAGGGAGGACTCACGGTGCATGTTTGCCAGGCTCCTTGCTTTTCTGCCTCAGAATTTCCTTCTCACACCGTGGGCCCTGTGGCCTAGAATGCAGGAGGCACATGGAAAGCTGCTCACAGTAGACACCCCAGCCCCATTCAGCTCATCTGGGCAGCATCCCTGACCCCACAGATCCCAAGCCCCCTTTGCCCCATGGAGAGGATGCTGCCGGAACTGCAGTTTCTCACAGCAGGTCGACCATTTGTCCCTAGAGCCCAATGTGAGTGCACAAGGGGAGGAACAAGCAAATGGAAGAGATAGAGGGGGAGCTCACAAGACACTGATCTTGGCTTCCAAGCGCCCACCTTCCAGCCTGCCACCAGCGTGAGTGGTCCCTTCCTGGCCTCCTCCTCTCTAGCAGGACTCATAGGCCACCATGGCCTGAATGCAACCGGCCCCCGTGATCTGCATCAGGCCAAGCCCTGAGCTCAACAAGACACAGCGCAGAATGTCCTGAACATCCCCACAATGGGCACAGCCTAAGCAGACTCCCCGAGACGAGCGGGGCACCTACACACCCCACCCCCACGCTCAGTCTGGAAAGCTCAGCTTTCAGGACTATCAGAGCAGGTGGAGGGTGTCATCTTTCCCAGATCTGTCCTCTTTAGGACCAGCTCCAGCCCAGGAGGAGTGTCAGTCCTGATGTTTCTTGCTCCAAGAACAGCAGAATGGGCCCAACCTGCCCTGCTCCATCCTGTCCCCCAGCAGAGGCCCCTTCTGTGGCAGCAGGACAGAAGCCCTGATCTCTGAGCACTGTGGGCCTTGGCAGGGTATGAACCAAGCCTTAAATGGCACCTTCTAGAACAAACTCCCAGCTCCCGCCTGCTGCCAACGGTCATGGCCCCACTCCAGCCCCTGCCCTATGCTCCGAGACAGCCTATATCCTGTTTCTCCAAGAGCAAGAACAATGGATCTGGTCCCCCAAGGAAGCTGCCAGGACAGTTGTCACAACGGTCAGGAGCAGGGTCTTCGCCCCCAGCTCATGGCTGAGGCAGGTCACCTGGGCCCTCTGAGCCAACCTGTGCCACCACATCACAAGATGGCCTTTCTGCCCACCATGGCCAGCGGCCTGTGCACGCTTGGCACTGACCACATGCCTCCTGCCCATCCCTCATGACCAAATCCACATCCATCGTGGAAGTGGACCTTTGTTATTGTTAGTATCCAACCAATACCTGTGTGCTGAGACCCACAGAACCAGAAAAGGTCTCTCTGGTACCGAACTGCAGCCATCAGGCATGGCTGACCCCGCGGACCAGACTCCCACTCCAATCTATTTCTTCCTTATTTGCTCTCCTGAAACCCTGACCCATTCTTTAACAGTTCTCTTTGTGCTTTTATGGTTATTGCTGGTTACATAAACAATCGCTGTTCAGTGTGCCTCTAGGTTGATTGCTGGTTCATGTAATTACAGATCCCTTTAAAAGGTCATAGGTGCTGTGGGGAAAATCAAATGGAACAGGTTGGGCCATAATTATGGGGACAAGTGAGTGTTTGTGTTTTAATTAGAACGGTACTCATCAGCCTCGGCAAGATGACGTTTGAACACCCGGCTGAAGACAGTGGAGGAAATGATCCATGAATAATGGGGCGGGAGAGAAATTGAGGTGGGAGGAACATCCAGCAGTGGCTTGGAGTGGGACAGTGGGTTTGGCAGGTGCCAAAGAGAGAGGGAAGGGTAGAGTGGCCGAGCAGATGAGATGACGAAGACCAGGACATGGAGAAGGTAGGAGAGACTGTCGAGGCTGTTGACATTGTAACAACCTTAGCCTTCACTCTGAGTAAAATGGGGAACCCTGGAGACTTTGACACAGTACAGATGTAACTTAGTTGAAATGGCCATTCCCTTGGCTACCCTGAGGACAGGTGGAGGAGGTATAGAAGCCTGGAGACGAGTTGGAAATTCCAGGCCAGAATGATAGTACCGTGACACCTACCTGGATGTCAGAGAGTGACAGGCTGGAGACTGGTGTACTCACCACAAAAAGCAGGAAATAGGTCAGAGCCTGGATTGATTTGGGGTTCTGTGACACACAGAGTGTAGTCTGTGAACCTGGAACAAGAAAAGCAAGTGATGTTACCAATTGTCACAGCAACTCAATCCAGAGGGAATCTCACCATGTTAGCAGAGAGGGGACTCAGCAGAAGGCAGCCTTGCTGGAAGGGTGGGACCAGCGTGGGACTTGTGAGTAGCACTGATGACCAGATTCTGTGACAAAGACCCAGACAAAAAGGATTAAGGGCGAGAAAAGCTCCAGAAATAAGCAGAGGGTTCCACCATAGCCAGAAAACATCCAAGCCACACGGCAGAAGGCAGAGTTCTACATTCCAAAGAAGGTAGAGAGTGAGTCCCAAAAAATCTAAAGAAAGCATCACCCAGCAGCAGAGACAAGAACCGGAGCCCAGGGAAAGAATTCAGCGGCAGAAAGAAGGCATCTTTCAGCGAGTGATCTGGGACAACGACTTTCACCTGCAAAGAGATGTTTCACATCGCTCCATGTGCAAAGCTTTCCTCAGAATGGATCAGATCTGAATGTGGGAGTTAAAACTGTGAAATTCTTAGAGGACGTGCAAATCACAGCAAATTTGGCTTTGACCCTGCACTCTCATCTATGACAACCAAGAAACAAGCCACCACAAGGAAACTACACAAATCTGATTGCATCAAAATTTAAAACTTTTGCACATGAAAGGAAATGACAAGATACGTAATGTGAGAAAGCATTTAGAAATTGTACATCTGGTAAGGATATGTCAAGAGTATGTAAAGTGATCATATACTCAGTAATTTTGTAAAGCCTAATTGTAATGGGCAATGGCTTTGAGTAGACATTTGTTCAGAAATATACAGAATTACATATAAATATGGAAAATCTTCAGTATCCTTTGTATGTTGGGAAAGTAAATCAAGGTTTCATGAAATATCACTTATCATACACTAGAATTAAAAAAACCCAAGAGACTATCAGGATATGGAGACACCAGATTGCTAGTAGATACACAAAATGTTGCGGCTCAACAACAATAAAGAATTAATTCAGTTTATCCAACAGATAAACATAAAAATTAATATGTGTCCAGCAATTCTACTGCCACCTATTCAGTGAAGAAAAATGAAACTACATTCACACAAAAACTTTGGCATGAATTTTCATGCCAGCACTGTAATAACCCAATAGTAGGAACAACTTAGGTGTCACCCATACATGAGTGGATAAGCCAAATGTATATGACAGAGGACACAGCTCGGGGCACAGGCACCTGCCTGTGAAGGACGAGGTGTGAGTTCAACCCCTGATACCAAAGAGAAAACTGGAAGTCTACAGCATTGCCCCTGTTATGAGATACTACTTGGTCATGAAAAATGAATCCGTGACCATGCTGCACCATGAAGAAACCGTGAAGCATCGGGCCACAGAAGAGACTGCACACTGCTTCTAAAACAGTCAGGGACCTCGCTGGTGGACACAGCCTTGTGCCGCTGACTCAGTGCACCTCTGACCATCTGCCATGGCAGGCTGCAGCTCTCTGGATCTCTGCAGGGCTAGCAGCCCATGGTGTTTGAAGTCCCGTCCATGCTGCTCTTAATGGACTCAAAAGACCTTCCGAAGCCACACCATTGAGAAATAAATCAGGCGCTGACTACTGGGCTTCCCGCAGGAGGCTTCATTCCAACCTCTTCTGCTGCAGCACAGCGGCCAGCGCACCAAAGCAGACCCTCCCGGCCCAGCCTCAGAGGCACAAGTGGCACTGCTTATGCAGAAGCTGCAGGACTCCAGCTGGTGCAAACTCAGCCAGCTGACTGGTCTAAATTTGAGTCCAGGATTGGTACAAATTGGACTCAATGCAAGTCTTCTGATCTGAGGCTGCTGATTGGTCCAAATTTAATTCTAATTAGGTCAGTTCAAGCCAGGGTAGACATCGCTTGGAGCAGGCATCTACACCCGTGTGGCCTTAACTGAGACGGGAGTCTCCAAAACAAGTGAGGTAAAAACCTTGGGAATTTTCAGGATTTCTACTTGTGTTCATCACAGCTCACTGGGTTTTGGGGACACTGGGGGTGTTAATAATGGGCTGGGACCCTCCTTGATCTCGGTCACATTGGGGTGACTTCTCTGCTGCTTCTTTAGCGAAGTAGCAGTGGCATCTAAAATGGCAGGAGCAGGGGAGGGCACCTCAGTGACAGCCAAGCTATTCCTCCTGTTGGAGCGACCTGAGCAGCAGCCACGAGGTAACCCTAGGGTAGGGAGACACTGAGGCTGGCCAGGAAGCAAGGGCGCGTAAGGGAAGCGATGGAAACGGATGCAACAGCAGTCAGCCAAGCCACGCGCCCCTCCACCAACCACAGGGAAGAAGAAGGTCGCATAGAGACCACACTGAGAGTCTGGGCTTTCAGAATTACGCACCAGCCCATCCTCACCTGCTTCCCTGGAGCCCGCCTCACCCTCTCCTTCCTCCCCTTGCAAACTCCCATGCAGCCTCCTGCCCCAGACCTTCTTGCTACCTACCCAGCCTACCGGTGCCCTGTGGATGCCATGTGTGTGTGGGTGCTGTGGGTGTGGTGATCCCCTGTCCTTTCCGATCATCAGTGCTGAAAGTGTCCCCACCGGAGCCCATTAGACTCTGTGTGACACACAGGACTGGACATAGGGCAACTTTATTGAGATGTGGTTGCCAGAACCATTTCTCTCTCCTACAAATAATTTAACCTGCATGCTTAGAAGGTGGTTGGGGTCCCCATGGCTGCTTTCTGAGTGGTCTCTGTGGAGCTCCTTCCTTACACTGAGAATCCTGGGTGAAATCACAGATATCTACAGACTTAGAAAAAAACAAGAGGTTGGCAGGCATGCTCGGCATTCTACAGCAAAATTATGAATAAATAGTGGAAAAAAAGGGAAAAAGTCCTTCTCCTTACCAGCATGGGAGGTGGAGGGGCCAGGGGGCCTGGGAGGCTTTTGTGGGTGATGTCCCCTGGCTAGAGAACACATGTGTGCAAGACATCAGCGACGCTGCAGTAGGAGGAGCAGAGCAAGGGTCTCGTCTCCTCTGTCTAACTTGTACATTCGCTGTTCTCAAGTTTACAGTTTTATATGCTGGCTTAACCATGTAGCACATGAATCAAGGGGTGGCCTGGAGCCCCTGATCTCCCAAAATGAGTGTACAGCCAAGGCTTACATAAAAGAGATGAATAATAGGGTTTCAGGGCCCAGAAAGGTCAGAACTCTCTTGGAGCTAAGACAAAGACTTCTCGGTGCATCCAGTATTTATTGGGTTTCAAACAAGTTCAGGGGGCGTGAGGGGCGGTGAAAGGGAAAGTTGAGGTAAGAGTGGGAACACAAGCAGAGCCTTGAGAAGTCAGAACAAAGACATCCTCAGGCAGCACAAGGTGCCACTTAGGAGAGCTGGCTCCTCTCTGAGGTGGGCAGCAGGGAGCCAGCATCCTCAGCTGCAGCCTTCAGAGGCTGTGAATCCACAGAGCAGCCCCCCCTTACACAGCCGGTCCCCAGCACGCATGCACAGGGTCACATCAGCGGGTCCCTCTAGTCTAGTGCTCCTGCACTAGACTGTGGGTTCATCTCCTCATGTGTCCTCAGACACCCCAGGCTTTGGGGCACTCCAGAACAGTAGCCCCTCTTAGAGGTTAGGGCTAATGTCACTTCTTGTGAGCACCCCATTGTTACACCTGGGCCATGTGAAATGGGTTTCCTGGTCGGACGCTATCCTTCATCAGACCATTCCTAACCATCCACCACTGCAGTGTCTGGTCAAGGCATCTCCTGGCAAGACGACAAACTTCTGTCCTGAGCCATGATATCCTGCATGCTTGATTGTTTGGCTGCCCTCTCATAAGCTTTGCCGTAAGTGGATACCCCACAAGGGACAGTGCTCTTTGAGGCCTGGCTGCTGCTGGGTCCAGCATCTCCCCAGCTTCCCCAGCAGCTCCCCCTGCCCCAATGGAGCTCTTGAGGACTCAGCCCATGGCCCATGTGCACACAGATCCCAGAGAGGAAACCAAAGGTCTTTATTCAGAGTCACACAGGGCTGGGATGGCACATAAAGGGCTGTGGTCGGAGGGATGGTCCAGGTGGAAAGGGGGATCCAGGTAAGACAGGTGGCCCAGGGAAGATGGATGGGCCAGGGAAGATGGGTGGTCCAGGTAGGACTGGTGGCCCAAGCAGGAGGGCTGGCCCAGAGAGGAGAGTGGGCCCAGGAGATGAGGGTCCAGGTGGCTGCTGTGGTAAGACGAAAAACAGAGGTTGAGGCCCTCTCCCATGGGAGCCATGGTCTGCAGCAGGAAAGGACCAGTGCCCTTCAGTGACCCTCTTTCCCCAGGCTGTCATGCAATGGCTTCAGAGATGCTTTGGACTCCAAGAGTGACCCTGGCTCCTCCGTGCTGACCGTATCTCTGAGCATCCTTGGCGGGGGTGTGGGGTGGGAAACGGGGCTGAGTGGAGACCAGGAGAAGGATAACAATGGGGCTGAGCTGACTTTCCTAAAGGAAAGATCCTAACAAGTGAGCCGAGAATTATACCCAAGGTCAGTTACTGAGGCGACTATTTCTTCTAGGTCCCAGAGTGGATGGGAGGAAATGAGAGCATTAGAACCCTCAAACTCCAGAACAGGGCTCTGGACCTTTCCTCCCCACGGGATCACTTACTCTAGTTGTGCTCAGGGACACAGCTTTCTGTAGAAATCAAGAAAAAACCAACTGTGAGAAGGGGCCCTGAACAAGGGCACAGAACCCCTCCTACCCAGAGCTCACCCATCTCATGACTGAGACCCAAGGGAGGGTGCTGGTGTCCCCGTGAGAAGACAGAAGAAACAGAGGAACACAAAAACTCTTGGGGGACACAGAGAGACACAGGAGAGATAGAACAAAGGAGACACAGGGAGAGTTGGGAGACACGGAGGGACACTGGGGACATTGGGGAAGATGCCGGCCGAGGCGTCTCCTCACCCTTCTGCTCCGGGATGACGATGTTGTCTTGTGGGAGCCCCTTGCGCCTCATGAATTTCTTAAATTCTTCCAGAGCCTCTAGGTTTTCCTCAGGGGTCCTCCCTGTGGGAGCGGGACCAGGTGAGCAGAGGGAAGATGGTTACACAGCTCAGTGGGGAACTGATGGCCCGAGGACACAGCCAGGGCCCAAACCAGGGCTTCACCCCCAAAGTGACCAGGGCTAGAGGAAAGGGCAAACCTAAGACGGCACAAGGAGCTACATGGCAGGGGCACCCTGAGAGACTCTGGGGACCTGGGTGGCCCCCAAATAGGCCTGCTGGGAGTCACATCTCTAACCTTGAAGTCCTTCATGTCCCAGAAGCACTGTGCTCTCTGAAAACCCCTGGTACCCCCTTTCAAGCTGACCCAGGAAGATGGCAGAGATCTAAGACGTTGCACCTGCCAGCTCCAGGGACAGGAGCCCCTTCCCGAGACTGAGCCTGTCCCTGTCTGTCCCTACCCAGCCAAGCCTTGTCCCACTTAAGAGCTTGTATCCGGTCCAGGCGGCAGACTGGAGCCAGTGTCCAGTGTCCTCCACAGATGGAGTCCTAGACCCCTGGTTCCAGGGTATCACTGCTGCCGACCCCTCCAACTTCTAGAAGTGGAAATTTCCAGAGGGCAGGATGTCCAAGGGCCTCACCCAAGAGCTTGCCCATGACAAACGTTTTTCCACGGCCCTGGTCTTCACAGTAGAAGGCGTAGTGGTCCTTGACGGGCAGCTCCTCCACATAGATGAGCTTCTTGCCCTGAACTGTGAACAGAAAGAGTCTCTTCATTCCCAGGTAGGACACTTGAGACACCACACTGAGGAACAATCTGGAACAGTTCAGTGCCCAACCAAGAGACCCAACCAGTCAGTCCAGCCTTTGTGATCTGCATCGCTGGGCGTAGCCGCCTCTTTGTGCTGGGGATTTGGAGGTGGACCCCAGCTCCAGCCCCATGCAGCTCTCTGGCTCTGTTTCCCCAATCTTTAACACATGGCTTTCCCATGAGCCAACAGCTAGAACCACCCGGAGGGAGAGTGGCCTGGCTAGTCCTGCCGCGGACAAGGCTGGTATCTGATGTCAGGGACACAAGACCCCCAGGAAGGGAGAGGGCAGCCCCTCCTGGAGGGGGCCAGGGCAGGGACACTCCCACGCTGGGCCAGGCTCAGGGCACAGCCGGGCGGGACTCACGGGCACTGTATTTGCCAGGCTCCTCAGTTTTCTGTATCACAATTTTCTTCTCATGGCACTGACCTTTCTTCCTAGAAAACAGGAGGCACCCAGGCAGCTGCTCTCATGATTCCCAGGGCCCAGTTCAGCTCACCTGCACAGAGTTCTCAGCCAGGTAACCCCAAATATGCCCTCTCACCCCTGCCTGAGTGATAAGATGTCACCTAGGGCTTTTGGTCACCAATCTTCAAACGCAGGTGAGGGACAACTGAGGGACCTACATTGGGCCACACTCACATGAAGGTGACCTTGGCCTCCCAGTTCCCGCCCTCCAGGGCTGTCACCATCATGGGAGACACTCTCCAGGGCTTCTTCCTTTCCGGGGGAGTCTTGTTGGCTGCCGCAGCCTTCACATACCAGGTCCCTGTGAACTAAAGCAACATCTGTCTCCCACCCCTGACGCGAGGACCTGCGGCCTAAACAGGGTCTCTCAGTGTTCAGGCTGAGGCTCCCAGGGACGGCTGGGCTTCTGCCTATCCCCAGCCCTTCCTCAGTAGGTCAGACCCCAAGCACTCAGGGCCTCCAGACTCCAACTGAGGCAGAGAGTATCTGTCTCCCAAGGACCCAGTACCAGGGGGCCTGGGTGAGTAAGGACTCCAGAGGGCCTTGCCCTGTGGGGACCTTTCTATCAGAGTGTCACCCAAGCTTGCGCCCCCTTCCAGACTGCTCCTTAGGTGGGCATTGTCTGCTGCAAAAACCAAAGGCCCCCCACCCCTAAACCGACCCATTCAGGCTTAGAGGCCCAGGTCTACACCCAGGCTTAAACGGAACTTCCTAAAACAGGGATTTCACTGCTCCCTGCTGCCCAGTGCCCACAGCCTGCCTGCTACCCTTGCCTGCTGCCCACCCCACCAGCCTTACATTCTGCTGCTCTGGCCAGAAGGACAAGGGGTCCTGAGCCTGCAGCATAGCCACCAGGCCAAGCACCAAGAGGGTCAGCAGCAGGGTCTTCATCTCCAGGCTCTACACTCACAGCTGAGGCAGATCCCCGGCTATCTGGACGAGGTTGTGCTGGTTTCTCCACGACACATTTTATGTCCCCAATGGCCAGGGTGCACATACACTTGGCACTGACCAAACCCCTCCCACACATCCCTCCTGGCCAAATCCACATCCATTGTAGAAATGAAATGTTGTTTTTGGGACACAATGAATACTATTTGAGTGCCACCTAGAAATAAAAGGCCCACAATGCCACCCGATGCTCACCGCACCCAAGAGTCCTGCTCCCAGACCAGCCCACCTAGAGAGGCTGTGTCAGTTGGGGCACAGGCTGGGAGCGGGCGGGGAGCCCTGGCTTCCTCACACTCACGACACCCATGCTGGCTGGGACCAAGTTCCAGGGAAGCTCAGAGATATAGGCCAAGCTGCTAAAGCCCAGGAGACTCACAGAGTCCCCGGAGCCCAGGTCTCCCTCCCGTAGGAGTCAATATCTCTGTCCTGGCCCTTGCCCACCTGGGACTCCCGAGCAGAGGACTTACTGGGGTTGGAGGCACTGTTTTATGCCTGAGGATCATTTTAATATCACCCCCCAGAATTGCCCTGCAAGCTCCATAGCAGAGCAGACATTTACTCCCCAGCCTCACCTCGCTCTGTGCACCGAGGCCAGCTTCACCCTTCTCGGAGCACATCTTACTGGTGACATCCTGCTTGTGTTCCTGTCTTATCCGTGACCCTTCCTCATCTCTGCCACGATTAAGCTCCTAGCGAGCATGAGCGTGGCTTACACAGTCCGTGGTTTTATTGTGCTGTGAAAAGAGCTCTCGGCCCCTGTCGGCGGGTACAGATATCTGTGCACTAAAGGAGCAAGCCAAGCTATGTAACTTCTGTGAGCCCAGACTCCAGTGGGAAGAATTCAATTCTCTGTCGCTGTTTTCATCTGAGGACCTGCTGAGAAGACAGGTGAAGTCCTGGGCTCCCCCTGTGAGACTGGGAGTCCATGGGTGTTGGTTTCTTCCCTATCTGCCACCTGGGTGTTTTGGAGCCAGGTTCCCTCACGGCTCCTGGTGAACCCACCTTACTCACCTGCCTTAACTTGGTTCTAGCAGAGGTTCTTGGCTTCCCAAAGGTTCTCCCTCACTGGCTAGCTCTGACCAGCTCCGTGTACCCAAGACAGCTGCAAGTCTCACTCCCTGGATAGATGGCACACGAGGCACGAGGGGGTTATGTGCCTGCCTGGGGCGGAGTGCGCAGCTCTTCTCCCTCCAGTGCCTTTTCCAATGGCTCAGGCCCAGCGGACCAAGAGTTCTAACTTCCCCTCCTGAGTCTACTACAGGTCCTGGGCCTCAAACCCAGATGACCGGGCACTGAGGCAGACACTGGGGCCTCATACAGGCACCGTGGTTCCTTGCTAGGCTAAGCTTATACAGCTCTCGATTAATCACTAAATCACACAAGTAAGCCTTCTCTGGAAGCCCCGTGACTGTTCTGAAGTTGTGGGCATGAGCCAGTACTTCACCTCAGCTTGAAGGTGCTTTAAGCAGAAACCCTGCTACCCCAAAGACGGGGAGGGCAGGGCCCACGCTTCCTAAGACCAGAAGTCACTGAGCAGGCTGGAATCCCTACATTTCATGGCAAGAGACTTTTCTACTCCTATTCTTGTTAACAGTACCTGAAACACCTTGAATTTCATTAATCATAAATGGATTATTGAAATAAACCACATATGACATTGGTGCACATAATTTGATACTTGAAAAATAGAGGACAGCATGCACAGATGACTGATACAAGGTTGCCCCCGTAAATCCTACATTTGGTGTCATTGGAGCTCCTCTGGGGCCTCACATTCCCCACTGGGTGGATTCCACCACGTGCTCTGACTGCGTTCTTCCCTAACGCTTGTTGGGTTTAACTGGTGATAGACATCTTCGGGAGGCTGAGGCAGGGGTTGGAGTCGGTCCTTAGTGGGCAGGGAGTGAGGTGGGGCTCAGGTTGGGAGATAACACAGCAGGTCAGGGTCAGTGAGCATCAGATGGCTGTCAGAAGGCACTGGAGCAGGAGTCTGGGCAACGCGTGCCGGACACCTCTGGGGAACAGCAGGGCAGGAGGGGCGAGGCTTCTCCAAGGCCAGAGGCTTTTCTATACACACCACCTTCCCTTCTGGTGGTGGTGCTTGCTGGTCTGTTCCTAGGCCACCGCTCTGGCTCCCACCGGTTCTGAAAATACAGCAAACACAGGGCATAGTGGTGCAGGTCTGTCATTCCAGCACTCTGGGAGGCTGAAGCAAGAGGATTCCAAATTCAAGCCCCGCCGGTGAAACCTAGTGACTTAGCAAAAGCCTGTCTCAAAATCAAAAGCAATAAAAGGATTAGGGATATGGCTCATGTGAAGGGATTGGGTTCAATCCCCAGCGCTGCAAAAGAGAAAAATAAAAATAATAATAAATAAGAATACATAGCTAAATTAGGGCCAAGAGAGAATTCATACCACTAAGTACATATATTAGAAAAAAAAAGTTTCAATATTTTAGCTCTCACTTCAAGAACCCTGAAAATGTAGAATAAAACCAAACACAATAAAAGAGTAAGCCGTGAAAGCAGAAATCAAATAAATTGAAAATGGAAAAACAATATAGAAGAACCAAATAAAGGACTCACCCTGGGAATTGACTAATAAAACCAGCCCATCACTTTTGAAATATTGACAAAGAATAAGAAATAACAAAAAACAAATTTCAGAAGTACAGAATAAAGTGGGTGTATCACCTGCATATACTAAGGATGAAAAAGAAATACTGTACATGGACCTACTCACATCAGTGTAGCAACCCAGATGAGATAACTGATTTCTCAAGAAAAACACAATTCTAACATGAGATAGGTAACTGTCAGCCACGCGTGGCAGCGAATGCCAGGAACCCCAGGGCACTGGGAGGGAGGGAGGGAGGCAAGTTCAAGCCAGGCATGAGCAGCTTAGAGACTCAGCCAGGCAGGCCCTACCTGAAAATTTAAAAAAAGTTAGCTGGAAATGCATCTCAGTGTGAAGGTTCTGGATTCCATCTTCAGTGTGACAACTTCCAAAATAAAAATAGATAACTTATTCAGAACTCAGTATGTGGTGCAGGCTGGCCTCAACTCATAGTGATCCTCCTGTCTCAGCCTCCCAAGTGTTGGAATTCCAGGCATGTGCCACCACACCCAACACGGCCTAGTTTGATACCAGCATCTCCAGCATTTCCTTTCTATTCTTTGTATCTGCAGGGTCTGCAGTGATACACCCACTTTATTCTGTATTTTTGAAATTTGTGTGTTATTTCTTATTCTTTTGTCAATCTTTCAAAATTGGTGGGCTGGGTTTATTAGTCATTTCCAAGGAGCATCTCAGCCAGCCTGCACTACATACTATCTAAAAATAGACGACTCCTTATTCAAAATAAAATAGATAACTTTAATACACCTATGGCTAAGGAACTTAAAATTTTCATTTAAAAAGAACTTTCCAAAAGAATTCTCCATGTCCACATAGCTTAACTTGAAAGCTCCACTAAGCAATTAATAAAGTAAAACTTCTTTATAAACTTCTCTGCAAAATGGGAGAGAGGGAAAATTCTCAGGCAGGCAGTACATGAACAAGAATCCCACAGAATAAGATCACTCGTGCATTTGGCTGCAAAACTTCTTCATATGCCATGACCAGAAGGAATTTACTCCAGGGCTGAAAAGCTGGTTTAGTATTCAAAAAGATCGACCCTATTAATAAATTAAGAAAAAGAATCACACAATCACAGTGGCTAATGAAAAACACAACAAAATTCAATGTCAATTGAGAATAACTGTCAGAAAAATAATAGAAACTTTCTACTGGACAAAAAGTATCTTCTATATCTACAGGTAACATTACTCCTGGTGGTGAAAGACTGATTCTTTTCATTGTTGGATCAGAAACAAAATAAAGATGCACATTCTCACAACCTACATTTAACACAACACAGGAAGTCCTAGCCAGTGCAATGGGGATGAACAAAGAGAAAGAAAAACAGATGGCATAAAATTTGAAGAAATGAAACTTCCTCTTCTGCATATGATATGGTGCTTATGTAAAAAAAATCTCAAGGAATCAAAAAAATAAAACAATAAAATCAAACCAAAAGCAAACTCTCTTGAATTCAGCAAGGTTGCAGGATATAAGACGAATATACAAAATTCAAAAATTAACTCAGAAAGGATCTTAACCTTGAATGTAAAACATTAAACTATAAAATAAAGATCTTCAGGGTGTCAAACTAGATCAGGTTGGGCATGGTGGCACATGCCTGGAATTCCAGCACTTGGGAGGCTGAAGCAGGAGAATAGCCATGAGTTTGAGGCCAGCCTGCACTAGATAGTGAGAACCTGTCTGAAAGAAAGAAAGAAAGAAAAAAAGAAAGAAAGAAAGAAAAGAGAAAAAAGAAAAGAAAGACAAGAAAAAAGAAACTAGGTTAGGAGAGTTTAGATTTGTTGAGAAAAGTATGATTCGTAAAAGAAAAAAATAGGTGAAAGAGTCTTCATCAAAATAAAAACCTCTTCAACTCTGTTAAGCATGAAAAGTTAAAACTAATGAATTGGGAGAAGATAGTTGCAAACAAAATGACAAAATACTAGTTTTCAGACTTTATAAAGAACTATCAAAACTCAACAGCTAAATGAAAATTAGAAAAGCCATGAAGAGACCCTTCACCAAAGAATATACCCCGAGGAAAGCAAACACACAGAAAGACACTCAGCACCAGTGTCACTGTTCATCATAGACAGTCATTAACCAATAGAGATTCCAACCACCCCCCCAAGGATGATCACTAAACACCTCCCTAACATAGAAGCACAGAGCCACACAAAGGTCTGGCTGGCAAGGCTGCATGGCAATGGGATGAATGTACACGGCTGATGGAAATTAAAAATTGTATGTCCTCGAGAAATGACTGGTGGACATGTGACAGAAAAGCCGAACATCTGACAACACAACTCAGCAACTGC